GTCTGCCCACTGGGGGCAGTAACTGGGAGTTCCTCACTAGGAAGTGTAGTCACTGGTTGAGTCACAGGGGGCTGTGGTGGTAAGTCTTCAGGAACAGAAAAGGGAAACAAATCTTCAGGATTATGAGAGGTAGTGGCTTCAAAATCGAAAATGAACTCCTCCCCCAAGGTATTTAAGTCGAAATCGTGGACAGTGGGTGGGTCGAATGATGTGGAGGGAAGGGCAATAGGGGGCGGTTGAGTGGGCGGTTGGTTAATCGGTTGTGGGAGGGGATTAGATAGAGGGGTCATAGAGGGTGGAGTGGTTAGGGCTAGGAAAAGGGGTCGTGGTGTTGGAACGGTTGGAGGAGGCGCCACGACGGCCGGCGGTCGCACAGAAGACGAACTGGCGCCGGGGGTTGGATTAGTGTGGATTATGGTGGAGGGGGTAAAAATGGTGGAGAATAGGGGAGGAGTAGGAGCGATACATACCGGGGTAACGACGGCGTGAAACTCGTCGTAATCGACGGTGACGGTGGTGGGCAGTCCGGTGATGGTGGTGGATGGTTCCCGAGCTGGTGGAGCGAACGCAATGGGATCCGGCGAGAGAGGTGTTGCTGGATGCCACGTCGGAACGGGAGTGTCGCCGGTCATCGGCCGTCGAGATGAGCGACGAGCAGGTGGTCGTAATGGTGGCCGGCCGGTGGGGTTGTTTCGCGTCCGCGCCATGAGAAAGGAGAAGAAAGTGAATAGTGAGAAAAAAATGAAGTCTTCTTTTTTTCCCCCCTTTTTCATAGGTGACAGATGAGGTAAGCATAGGAAACCACCCACATTTGCATGCAAGTGTCCTTGAAAGTACATGTGATTTGAAAAAAAAACTATGATGGTACTAGTCAAGTCCTTACTTAAGCCACCATTGTCATAAAAACCATCATTACCATTTTTCAAAAATAACCTCATTGCTTTTCTTATTTTCCTTTTCTTTTCCCTGGAAAAAATTCACAAAGACCCGCCAATATTTTAAATATATATAACCAAAACCCACTACCGACTGTGAGCACGAGATGCCCACAGTGAGCATACCTGCTGAAAATAAACAAGGAGTACAATAAAAAAATATTTACAAATATTTACACAGAAAGTTCAA